GTTTGTTTAGTAACTTAGTTCTTTTAGGTGTCTTTTGGAAGAATGAATATTCACTAGAGCAATTGAAAGCTGTTGGTAGTGCCTTATAAGCTAAGTGAACCCCGTTCACGAAGACAGGGCTCGAAAAAGGTTAAGAACATAAAACGTCCCTATTCCACTTGCATCAGGTTTACATTATTAATTATATTAATCCCTTCCCGCTCGGAAAAGGCTCAAAATATATTTATACAAAATACCCGATACAAGGGCTTCGCTCTCCTACATTTATTTAAAAAAATGTAGGGGAGGTACACGGCCCCACACACGCCGTGCACGGTGAGTGCCAACCATTTTGATGCACTCCCCCCGAAGGGAATGCTAATTCGGGAACTGGACCGTAGTCCACAGCAAAATAACTGGCGAACCAGTAAAAGAGGCTTGGCCCCTTGTTAGTGCGTAAGCACAAATATCGACCGAAGTCGCGCATGTCAATGCGTGTAAACGCCATACAGAATACGAACGAATCCAGCCACAGTGAATGTACGTCACACGGTTTAGGCAAATAGGCACACTGGCCGTAAACCCTCCGTGAGCGCCACCACCTGCCAGACCGCCGCTCCTGCAGACGTGATGTAAGTGTATGGCATCACCACCAATTGCATGATCAGCACGGCTACTAGCCGCAGAGCGTGTCATGAGTCTACCGCTCACCTCAAGGGAATGGGGTCCCACGTTGTGCGGCTTTCGGCCGCAGCCTTGAGAGTCTCCTCAGATCCTCCCGCCAGCTACCACCCGCATGAGGTCGACACATATGCTCCACCAACCAATACAACGGCAGATATAGCCAAAAGGCAGTTATAAGATAAGAGTAATAATTCGCCATCAGAAAGGGTTTGTGTCACTGACGTTGAGTAAATGCATTTTCGATCATGTTTGTCTCACCCACCAACAAGTTGCCTTCAATCATTCAAAGGTGGGAAAGTTACAGAGATATAATATTATGTTGTTATATAAAACATCGTGGAGGGCAGACAGTCTGCAGCCCCGCAATGAAGGGACCCGACTTGGGCAAAGCTACTTAGGTGTGAGTCAAACCAAGACGCAGAGAGCGCCATTGAGAATAGCGTCCCACCAAACAACCATCGCAGAGACGCAATGCTGCAGAACGCAACAAGCATCAATACGACTATCGTCGGGCTTACACCATCCCAAGGTCCCCCATACATCCCAGCAGACATCACCACCCGCATACCTCCATCGACCAGAACCACAAGAGAGCGTCGAATCAGGCGCAGCACACCCGCAGATCCATCACAAGACGCAATACCGCAAGTAGCAGTAAGCATCAATGCAACTATCATACGGGTGGCGCCCCCTCACAACACACCCACATGACTCCTATCGATTTTGGTAACAAAGTTGTTATTGTTGTTATATAAAAAATATCACCAACGTATCATAGTAGCACGCTACTAAGACGCCAATGGACAAAACTCCACGTATCATAGCGCTAATGCACTAAGACATGAAGTTGAGTATGCCTGTTACACTTAAAAGTGCTACCAAACACACTCATCATCCCCATCCGAAAGATAGACGACACATCGCTATGCGCAACGACGTCGCCCACAAACGGTATGGGTGTGCGATGTCCACGGGAAAGACGTATTGCTACAACAAACCCGCTTACCACCGGCACTAAGATGATATGTCTAGGACACATCGGTTAGCGAGTCCAAGTTTACCTCGGACCAATTGCTCGTGAAGCAGCACACACGCCACCATAATATTCCTTTTCAAGTCCCTAATAAGGACTAGTCATTTTGCTACAGTACTAGGAGCAGTCAGTCACCCGACCACCCCATACAATGCTTATGCATCAAGGAGACCTCCTATAATATTGCTTTTGTATCATAGACCTTACTTTCATAAGTCATGTATATGTAGGATTCGAACCCACGACCCTACTATTGTAATGCATATTAATCATAGAGACCTTCTATAGTATTGTTTTTGTATCATAGACCTTACTTTCATAAGTCATTCATATATAGGATTCGAACCCACGACCCTACTATTGTAATGCATATTATTCATAGAGACCTTCTATAGTATTGCTTTTGGATCGTAGACCTTACTTTCATAAGTCATTAATATATAGGGTTCGAACCCACGACCCTACTATTGTAATGCAAATTCATCATGGAGACCTTCTTTAGTATTGCTTTTGTATCATTGAGTTTAATATCATAAGTCCCTAATATAGGACTAGTCATTGTGCTACAGTACTTCAGGCAGTCGAGCTCCCGACCACCCCATATATATGTACAACTGCAGGTATGTACCTCCGACAGCTTCCTCCATACAAGACATCTATACGTGAACACCTTCCATAACTTAGGAAAATTTTCTTTAATACATGAACTCCTTCAACAACTTAAGAAATTTCATCTATACGTGAACTCCTTCCACAACTTAGAAAAATTTTCTTTTATACACGAACACCTCCCATGACTTAAACAATTTTTAACAAATTTTCTAATTATCTTATAAACGTTATTTAACTTAATTTTATAATATTTTTTGACTTGTATTTCTATTATTTATCTTATTTTAAATATTTTTTCAAGTTTTTAAATAAATTTATTTATTACGAAAAACAATAATTTTGCCTTTAATTTACTATGTTATTGGGATAATGTCTGAAATATATTAACTTTATGTTTATTAATTTAACTTAATTGCTTAATATATATCTTTTAAGACTATTTTTGACGCCCCTTTATATTGAATTTAATTATTAATAATAATATTGGGCCGTCACAATATGCAGAAGAAACAGCGTTGGCGATAGCACGCAGCCCTGTGGAACACCAGCATTAATAAGCTTGCAATCGGAGCTTGCACCGTCTACAACGACTTTGATGCTCCGATCTGCAAGAAAACTGGTGATCCAATCGCACAATTTCCCGGGAAGCCCATAGGAAGGGAGCTTCGAAAGAAGCGCTTTGTGCCAAACCCGATCGAAGGCCTTCGCAATGTCCAAACTAACGGCCAATGCCTCCCCCCTTGGACTCTACTGCCTCCGCCCATCTGTGAGTTAGGTAGACCAGAAGATCACCAGCTGACCTACCACGGCGAAAACCGTATTGGCGGTCACTAATCAGCTGGTGATCCTCAAGGTACCTCATGAGCTGGCAGTTTACAATGGACTTCATTGTTTTGGAGAACAAGGAGGTGATGGCGATAGGCCGGTAGTTGGACGGGTCTGAGCGGTCGCCTTTTTTAGGGATCGGGTGGACGAAAGCCGTCTTCCATGATTTTGGGACTACGCCTAGGGAGTAGGAGTACCGGAAAAGACGCGTTAAAATCGAGCTGCTTTTTAAGGCTGGTATTCTGTGAGGTCGTGTTCCTTCCACGGTCGAGCCGACTCACTCATCATAGCTTGCAACAATATAGCTGCAGCATGGATCTACCACGTAAAAGACTTTTCAAAGAGTTTCAGAGAGTATGCCGAACATCGTAAATACAAAAATAGGTCGATAGTGGGAAAGAAAGTGTTTTTCATCTGAATTAAAGACTGGGACTGCTAAGGCTAATCCAGCGCCCTGGTAAAAAGGCGACCTTCTTTTAGTGAACAATTGAAGATCTGCTACAATGAGTAAGAAAGAGCCAAGAATTTAGCACAATTTTTAACAAAATCCTTTTAAAAAGCTTTTGCCATCTATCACTCTGAAAAGCAAATTGAAAAGATTTGATGATTTAAGTGACATGTTTATGTGTACGTTTTTGTGTTTCGAGGAATCATTGAATACTTTTGATAAGCTGTCCGCGATTAAATTGTGAATATTTTTATTGTTTGAAACCTTTTTGTCGTTAAGGTACATTTCAGTGGGGAAAGGCTTATAATTTGCCATGTTTGATGTCCACCATTGAATTAATATATACTTACGTACTAGAACAGCTATTTTAAACAAAAAATTCGCGCTACTCTGTTTTCGCACGGTTGGTTTTTAATCATAGAATAAAAATAAGTAGAATAATCAGTAGAAACAACAGATGGTAGCAATAACAGACAGGTAAGTTATATCGAGTACTATTTTTAAATTTAGTCAATTATTTTGTGTATTATATTTGCTTATTTAGTATAATATTTCGTAAAATTATATCACAGTTCTTATGAAAAATCATATGAGCTCACCGTTCTTTCATGTGCCTAGCTTTGCTTTGCTTTGCGTTGTTTGCGTTGTTGTTTTGGAGGAATTCATGGCTCTTGAAATGTCGTCATACATTTCTCCAATCTCCTCATTGCGATGTGTCGATGTTGGTGCGTAAACTTGTATGAACTTCAGCGAATACCGTTTGGTGATTCGGTCGTTCCCCTCGTAGACACACTCCCAATCTTTACAACATTGTTAACGAGAAACTTGTGATGATAGTAAGTTGTCGTATTCTAGAATCACCGTGTCCTCCCCCCTCTCTTCGGACCTCTGATAATCCTATAACATTCCAGCGTAACTCGTCTATCTCCTCTTCCAACTCCAGTATCTTCTCGTCAGTTCTCAGGGTGCGTGCGTTGTATGTTGCCAGGTCGACTCGTTTTAGGTGGCAACCGAACCTCCATCAAAGATTTTAGCACCCTTTGCCCCGCCGTTACCGTAGTTGCTAGCGTAATCAAGAATAGTGGGGCTGCCGGGGACTGGGGCCATCTACTAGTATCGTTGCTCATGGGGAGTATATTGCCATAATGTCCACGCTTAGCGAGCGAGTTGGCAACCGCAGTTTTTTGATGTACAGTTGCTGTTACCAGGAAGATAATGCTGCCATTCTCTTGCCAGTTTCCCTCTGTCGCCTTTTACGATACCCACGCGAAGATATAAGGTAGGTGATATACTTAACTACCACTACAATAGTCATTGCTGGTAATGAATAATAACGACTATTCGTGTATAATTTTTGACTCTCTACTTTCTTTTGACAAATAAAATAAGAGTAATTCATGCATTTATTTTATATTTCAGTTCCTATAGAAGTACGGATGATTCGCCGTGAATACTTTAACCACTGGTATGGTCTTAAAGCCTTCTATGCCGCTAGAACATTTTCTACTATTCCAAGTTTGGTGGGTAATCAAATTTAATTTTTTGACGGTGTACTTCTTACTTGAAATATATTATTCTTAAATTATATTAAATATGCTTACAAATGAAGTTTTTTGTACATATATAATAAAGTCAACATGTTTATACGTGGTAGAGCCATGGTGCAGTTATATTAATAGTATAGTTGTAGCACGAATGGGTGGGCTCGACCGGGAAAAGACACGCTCTCCTCACGGGTGACAACGCATCTGCATTTTGATTTGTAATCGAGGATAGATGTAGATGTCTATGGGCCGCAGCAACCACTTACCATCAGGTGGACTGTGTGCTCGTCTGTCACCCTATTCTATAAAAAAGACATATTTACTTTAACTTAAATTTTTATTATTATAGATATTATACGTCTTTTAATCGCCACTTATAATAAGCCGCTTATTACAAATGCCTAATATGGCAATGTAAATAAAACAAGTTTTTAGGGATTTTATCACATATATTAAATCATTTTATGTTCCAGTTGTTACTTTACAGCACTCGTGGCCACGGGGGGGAGGATAATATGTTCGAAGTCTCAATGTCGTAGCTAACCAAGACCTCCTTTAGTTAAAAAATTATTATATTTGGTCCGAACGACGCAGATTGAGCTTATAATATCTTGGAAGTCTTACAGTTGTATGATTGGTTTGGGATTTAATATTATTAATTATATTATCCCAATCAGACGCCCCGTCATCTTCTCTATTGAAATTGGGATGTTTTTTGGTTTGAATAGCCTTGCGAATCATCCTTGAGAGGAATCGGTGTTCTATAGCAATATCTAATGAAAAAAATGATCTATCAAATCTGATCAATCTGTAGTGACGGGGTCGTGTTTCGCAGACTACAAACATCCCGGATCGTTGGCACTTTACATCAGCTACATGTTTCTTTACGATAAGTTTTGTCAATCCTTTTTTTTTTGTCCTATCTAAGAGCGATAAGATTTGTAAAATCACTTGTTTTCAAAGTCTAGTATTTGTGTTAATATAAGAAATCATTATAGTAAAGTGATATGACATAATATGTCAATTTGGAGATTTATCTCGCATATGAGTATACGAGTCGTTTAGTGACAGCGTGAGAGCAACTTCTTAATATCCCGTGAATGTCGTAAGTAAGAGACAATAGACGGAAATGAAACAGGAAATAGGCAGCAGTATCATCCCTATAGCAACTCAAAATGATAAGAAATCGCATCGGCAAACGGCCCGCCAAGCGTGACAACTATGGCAACCTTTGAATGAGGTTAATGTTGAACAGCGATCTTGTGATATCCTGTAAAAAATATTTTTCCATTTTTCCACTGACAGAGTTAAACGAAACCAACATGATAAAATGAATTTCGTTTCAGATATCTTTTGGAATGCTGTATGTTAGCATTGTATATGTCTTGTCCGGACAACCGTTAGAATGGGATCGTTTTATTTTATTTCTCATTGGTGCACTCTTGACAGGATTTTGTTCGGAAGGACTTGGTTTGATTATCGGTTCTGCATTCAATGTCACTGTAAGTAATAACTATATCAACGAAATATATTATATTGATTGCTTTTTAATGTCAACACAAGTTAAAAAAAAAACACGAACCAATTTCTGGCCTTTATAAAAATTTTAAGCTGTACGTGGGCTTTTTTAGCTTTATGGCGACGCTGCTTCTTGTCTCTTCTTCTTCTTGGTTTGGGTATTTTACGTCTGATATATTATACGAGATATTTATACTGCGATTTGTATTTGTAGAATGTTTCACTGGTTATACGACCAGGAAAACATTTTATTTGTCTATTTTCAAACAAGCTCAAAAATAAGGATTTTTTTATATTTTTCAAACAAAACCACTGAACTGATGCAAATGTTTTTTTTTTTAGTGAAATAGCCTCATTAACTTCAATGGTGGTCTTATATAAATTATAAGGAAATTTTTCATCTTGTAGGTGGGAAAATAGGGATAAAATTTTAATTCACTATTTGACAACACTCTAGTTTTTAGTCCGTTCAAAAAAGTAAAAAATAAACTTTTAAAACAAAATAAAAATCGACTCCAAAATTAAAAAGGAAAACCACATAATTACTTCTGAATAGAATTCTTATAAACACTTTATCTAAGTACAGTTTTAAGAAGCAGTTATGAAAATTTTATTATTCTTTATAGTTTTTGACCGACTGTTTTTCTCCTTGCTCGCAAATATTTTAATTTGTTGAATAACGTAGACATTTTGTAATATTTCGACCAAAAGCGAATTCGTACTATTCAATTATTCACCTGCACCACACCTATTTTTTCAAGATCTCACTACGTTTTGCGATCAACAGTGCGATTGTGTGACTCTGATTGGAATCGTTAGTATTGGAAATCACTCCGCAACTGCCTTATAATTTTCACTGAGATATCATTTTGTTAACAAAATAAGATATAAAGGTAAAAATCGACTTATAATCTATATACTACATAATATAAAACTTTTAAACGAAGTCAACTAACATTTCTCACCCGAGTATAAATGTAATTACTCTGAGAACCCGAATTACATAATCGCACGACAAAATTATCAGAAAAATTAGATTATAATACAAAAAATATAAACTTAATAAGTTATAATAAATATGTACGAAAAGAAAAAAGTAAAGTTGCTGTCTAAATTACGTCACAAGCCTCCCCTCATTTCGGAAGGGTTTAGGGCAAGGAAATTTCCACTGAGCTGTCCCAATGCGTGTTGTAAAATTTCATAATATTATGTCTTCGAAATATTTTATCATCGCCGAGTACGTGGTAAATCGGCAGCTAAAATTGCATGTATTAATTTTATTGGTGCCAGCGTGAATTTAACTCGGGTTCCAATAGTCGTAACGTTTATGACTTTAAGAGGAAATTACAGAAACATAACTTTCATCAACAATAAAATAATTTTTGACGGATTTTCGCATAACATAAGAATAAGAAAAAGTTTTATCCATCCATTCATCCATTACAGCCTATAAAAGTATACTGGTGGACATAAGCCTCTCCATAGATTGGCTCACATGGGGGATTTGGCCATACTTTCCTCATTTGGCAGACTGGTTGGCAACCGCAGTTTTTATAATTCAAGGTTCTTAAAATGCTCCTGGCCATATCCAACTTCAGTTTCCCTCTGTCACCCCTTACAACTCTCAAGGGACATTATCTCCGTAAAAATCAGATTCATTCAATATATGGTACGCGTAATCTTAAGAAATTATTTAATAGACTTGAACAAAATTAACACTTCGCGGTTCAACCTTATTAAATAAACAAAAAAGGACTCTTTCTTTTTCTTATTAGTGATATTTTTACGTATAAGTAATGCATTTTTCTATTATATTTACAGAACGGGTCTATTGTAGGACCAGCAACGATATCACCGCTGCTGGTGTTATGCTGTTATGGAATGGGATTTGGTAGCTTTATAGAACCACGAATGAAAGTTCTTATGTCCATGTCGTACTTACGATACGGATTAACTGCATTTACGTTACCTATGTATCAAAATCGTACTTTAATGGATTGTAACGCCGAGGTTTGTCCCTACGGTGACCCTTCAATCATACTTCGAGATGTTGGCATGGCATCAGATATATATTCGCTTCAAATATTTGGACTAATAGTGTTTACTACATTGCACAGGTTAATTGCATACTTTATTCTAAGACACCGTTTAACTGGTGAATATTCAAATAAATTTATCGCACAAATAAACAAATGGGTTAGGTGTTCTTGAAATTGGCTTATGTATTTTTTTATTTTTTAGAACAATAAAATATGTATATTGAAATATTTAACTATTTATTAATTTTGTTTTATTTTTCTATCAATGTATATTGTGTGTACAATGTATATACGTTAAATTGTGAAACTAAAACGTGTAATTATGTAAGAGTGTGCCTCACAATGTTTATTTGCATAAAAAACATATGGACAGGTACTATACATCACACAATCTCACTCGATAGCAAACAGAATAATTTAGTTATGTCGGAGATAAAGCAGAATAAGGTGAGGCGCGCGGCAGGAAGAAATGATTTCTATGACCCAGAAAGTAACTACTTACGGCTTTGATGTCGAATATTTTCAGTAAACTGAATTGGCTCGTCGTTGATCGGAATCTTGTGGACATCCTGCCAGAAACGTTGTATTAAAATGTTGCTCAACAATTGTTTCCCACGTACGTCAATTGATTATTTTTATAATTATCGTCGGTTGGTGATGCGAAAAGATTATTCGAGTCAAAATAACAAATGCATCAGTATTTATTTTAAAGTCACCAGTTCTCAATCATATATAAAAAGGTAATGTCCTCCAGACCGAATTTCGGTCACGACGGCAAGTCTGAACATGGACTAGCCATCTGCACAGGACAGGATTATGGTGCCCGAGTGTATCCGTAGGCACAGGTGCACTCTCTCTCAACTTCGTGCATTCGCTCAACTTCAGAGTCCGCAGGGACGGTAATCTAACACGATCGGAAACAGATAAGGTGCGGGGCTTACGGCTATTGACGCTTTAAAAGGTACAGGAGTGAAGCACCACCAAATTCCTGTCTCAACACTACTTAGAATTTCTTGTCAGAAACACGTAATAACTGACCTTATAATCACAATTAGTGTGTATGACCAATGGATAAAGAGGCATAAAGAGATAAATTATTCTACATCAAATGCAAAGCAATTGGGCCGGTAAGTAAAATCTTGTATTCATTACCGATTTCTTCCCTTGGCAGAAGATTTATTCGAATGGGTGGTAAAAACATAAATTAATGACTTTCAATCAGTATGTTTACATTAAATAAAAATAATTATTTTCTCAAAATCGCCGGTCTATATGCATCAGCTACCCTAAATGATTGCAAGGCGCACTTATTGGTTTGCCGAAGGCCAAAAATTAATAATGACAAAATGCGTTGACGCTCCGGGAAATCTGCAGTCTGCGAACATGTTCAAGATCGTCCCCACCATTACATTCGATTTGATAAACCACAAATCCTCGCAAAAGTACACCGATTCCTACCAAGGATGATACGCGAGGCTATTGAAATTAAAAAAACATCCAAATTACAATAGAGAAGATGGATAGGTGCTGCCAGCAGCTTGGGATCCTATAATTAACAGAATTAAACCCAAACCCAAGCATACCACTGCAAGACTTCATGATACTATAAGCTCGTTTTGCGTAAATCGGACCAAAAATTAATATTCAAAAACTGAAGGTAGCCGGACTAACTATGACATTGGGACGTCAAACATCTCAGTCCCCCCCGTGACCATGGGTGCTGTAAAGCACCCGAAACGTCGGGAAAGTAAAAACAAATTAAAGTAATTAAACGCGATAAAATCCGTAAATAATAGTTTTATTCAATTTTTAATCGTCTTGAACTACGCGCTAGCTGATTGATACCTGTGATTTACTCCTTTACTCCTTTTCACGGTAGAGCTAGTATAACATGTCGCGCGCTGTCAGAGCTTACCTAAATTGAAAACAACTTTGATTATAAAAAAACGCGTCCGAAATATAAGTTGTGATTGTTAAACAGATTTCAACATTCACGAATAACGATTTATGATATATATTTGTATTAATCAATTATAATTTAAGCATATCAATCGTAAGCAATGTAACAGAACGTTGCTTCGAATGAAACCCATATGAACGAATGTAACATTATCATTTTCTTGTTTTTTGTCTGTAGATGTTATTTAAACTAGTACTAACTTTGTTACTGATGGGTTCTCGGATAGTCTACGTCTTGTCTGTCAACTATGGAGTCTGGTAATAACAAACATTTTTTGGAATAAGACCAATATAGTTTTGTGGTATAATAGTGTTGAATAAAGAAATGATATGTTACTTTCTATTTATTTTAATTTAAAATAACAATATATTAAAGTATAAACGTTAATTAAGGATAATTTAACTCTATATTTGTTAAAGAATTAAGAAGATCGGTTCGATAGTTTAAGAAATTACTATTATTTTAGATAGAATAAAGGTAAGTGGAGGCTATGACCCATAGATATCTACCTATTATCAATTAAAAATCAAAATGCAAATGCGTTTTAAAACCTCGTCGACCGTCTTGGAATAAACAAATAAAAAGGTTTTCCAGTTTTCTACACTTAGAATACAAAATACAGCAACATGATTCTGTGTTAATATTATTGTTTAAATTGTATTTTTAAATGTTACTTGTACCACAATTAAACAATAGTATGTAAAATACTTCCTAGGTCTCACAAACGGTACTGTAATTCAAACACAATGTCAAATTTACGACTCCCCATAAACACAACGTTGTTACGTACATAAAATACTCTGTAAAGTTACATCAGCAGCAAGAGCTTTGTTATTTAATCCCTATAATACATAAAGGAATAAAAATATTGCGGATATAATACAAATATTATAATGAAAGAAAACAGCAACGAAATTATGAGAGAAAATTCTGTTAACGGAAAGACAAAACTCGTTATTTATATTTTATCAATGTCAATAACCTTTTATGACCTACTTAGCAATTTAATTACGTAAAATTAAATAAAAATGATAATTAAAACTATAATATTTACAATTAATACTAATTATACAAAATATAAAAAAACAATAATATAAAAAACTAACATTAAAAATTTAAATAGTCAAAAAGCCCTACTCCCCGTGGTATAGTGCCAGGAACGCTGGCTGCGTTTCCTCGCTGAATAGCTATACTTAGCCTTTGAGCGAGGAAGGAACCAGCCCTCTTATCACCAGCAGTGACGACCAGCCGTGGATACAGTTCCTTTAGGAGCTTCACTGCACGTGGACCCCACGGACCGATAGTCTCTACAGCAAATGGCACACATATGTAGTCATTTCTCAAAAACTCATATTTGCGCCATTTACTAAATTCGACCGCCTCTGATGCCGCCCCGGCTCTAAAAGAGGTACCCTTGAGATGAGAGATTGCCGAAGTGTCAACGCAAGTAGCATCCCACGCTAGGGCTTTACCTCTCTCCCGAGGGACCAAAGTTATACCGTCGGGTCTCTTGTTATATTTTTATACAAATTAATACTAATATCAACGGAGACAACATTTTAAAAGTGAAATATTGTCGAGCCTGTGGTGTAGTAAAAGTTTTTCTTTGATATACTTAAACATTTATAAAATATGCTACATTATAATATTTGCAATATCAATAAAATATTATTATAAAAGTTAGTGTAGTCGCACCACGTAAAATCAAAGATAGCTCGTGCGCCTAGTTGTTCTTTGACCTTGCCAAATCATCGTGGAATCGTGGAAATTATGGATACGCCGCCTGTGATGAACTAAGTGATGAACGACCTGCCGCAACCGCTGGCCTAGTAACAATAGAAACATTTCAAAAAAATCTATATAACTAACTTATGAAAGCTCAAAAAACCCCATACACATCCAACTAGTGGAGGACGAGGTCCGTCGCCCCTTATCGCCTCTGACTCTATCACTGTGTCCAAAGATGAGATTTCATCTACCATCAAAGGACTTAAGCCCAAAAAAGCACTGGGTGCGGATGGCATCTCCAACCAAGCCCTTAAATACTTTCCGGAGCAGGTGATAGCCTTATTGGCCATAATCTTCAACGTCTGCTTCGAATTCAGCTATTTTCCTACCTCTTGGAAAGAGGAAACTGTCATTGGTATTCCCAAGCCAGGCAAACCTCACCACCTCCCCTCCAATCACCGTCCCATCAGTATTCTCAAGGCTATGGGCAAACTTTTCGAACGAGTCATTCTCGTGCGCATGAGGCGCCATTTATTTTCCACAGAAGGCGACCCTCTTGTCATCCCACAACAATTCGGGTTTCGAGCCAAACACTCGTGCCCCCAGCATGTTCACCGCATAGTGGAATATATCCTCAGCGGTTTTTATCCTCGTCGTCAAAAAACCATCGCGATCTTCTTCGACATTGCCAAGGCATTCGACAGAGTCTGGTACAAGGGCCTTGTCTACAAATTGTACGACTTAGGCCTCCCAAACCGTCTCGTTCGCCTTGTAACCTCTTATCTGAAGGATCGTACCTTTCGCTTTAGACACGAAGGCACGCTATCCTCTACTCGTCAAATCAAAGCCGGTGTCCCTCAAGGCTCGCTTTTGCTTGCCCCCCCTCCTATTATATACTATCCACCAACGACATCCCTATCCCGTCGAATGGTGTTAAACTAGCCCTCTTCTCAGATGACACAGCCTTTTACTCTAAAGGCATCTCACTGCCACAGATTCGGAACAACGATCCAAAAGTCAGTAAGCGACTTAGGAGCTTGGTTCCAAAAATGACGTATCGACGTAAACCCAGAGAAGAGCTCCGCAGTTTGCTTCGAATATAAACGACGCCGTCTCACCACCACTCCGCCAATCAGGATGTTAGGAACACCTGTCCCATGGCAAACTACAGCCAAATATTTAGGCGTCACCCTTAATGCAAGGCTCACTTTCGAACCCCATATTAAGAAGGTTACTCGCACCGCACGATTTTACATGGGTAGGCTCAACAGCATGTTGGGCAGACACAGTAAAATGTCCCTTCGTAACAAGCGAACCCTATATAAGGTCTGCATACGACCTGTCATGACCTACGCGGCTCCCATTTTCGCACATGCTAAGCTCAAAGCTATAAATGAACTCAAATAGTTCAAAATCTATTCTGTCGTAGGGCCACTTACTCGCCCATTTATGTCCGTAATGCCGACCTACACCGGGACTTAGAG